TGGGGTTATAAGGCCAGGGTTTCTTAACGAGGCTCCTACAGTAGTTGAAAGAGTCTTGGGTTCAGGAGATCGGACATCATAACCAAACTTGCCACACGGGGCCTGAAGAGAGTGTTGATGCTTCACGGCTGCTTCCGCACCATCGTGCTGAAGGACTCTACTCTACAAACCCTAAATCCTAAATCCTACATCCTAACCCTAAACCCTATGTACCCCAATAATTACCCAAAATCCCAACTCCAGGAGGTCCCAAACCCCTAAACTAAAACCAAAACCCAATGGCATCACCATCGGGTCCCTAAACCTTAATCACTCACCCCATCACCCAAAGTTCAGGGTTTAGGGCTTAATGTGTAGGGGCCCTTTACCCTAAACCTTAAACACCCAAACCCTCAACCCATCACCTAAGGCACCGTAGGCTAAGCGGAACTCTACAAACCCCAAATCCTAAACCTTACATCCCAAACCCTAAACCCTAAACCCAAAACCCAAAACCCTAAACCCAACACCCTAAACCCTGAACCCTAAACCCACCAGCTACACCAGCGACTGCAACTGTGCCCAGCGTCCGAGAGGGCCATGAGGACCTGAAGGATCTCCCAGAGAACCCTCAGATACCCTATGGTTTTTGGGTTTAGGGTTTTGGGTTTAGGGTTTAGGGTTTGGTTTAGGGTTGATTTGCGAGTTCAAGAACTTGTCTTCAGCCCAATTAGCTAGATGTTTGACCATGTTACCCTCCTAGACCATACCAAAGTACGGGTAGTTCTCTAAATCAGGGGCCCTTGCTAGCTCCCCCAAATTGTACGGCGCCCTTATATAAAAGGACACAAAAACAGGACCCTCATTTAGAGAACTACCCGTATGTTGCTCACCTGAGCGGAGCCTATTTCAATGGTGTGCTGTCGATTTGTTTCGCCTTGAGGGTTGGAGATATTTCAGCTTCTGGTCGTCCGGGCTTTTTGCTTTGCCTTGGGGTTTAGGGTTAAGGGTTTAGGGTTTAGGGCTTAGTCATTATGTAGGCCACGCGAGATTACAGCCAAGGCGGTGCAGCTTAGGCGACTTTGCGCACGCCGGGACATCCACACCGGTTTGGATTGCAGGCTTCAGGGTGCTCCGAAACCCGTTTGCTACTGGGATCAAGTCTAGCCAGACCACCAACCCTAAACCCAACCCTAAACCCCAAACCCCAAACCCCAAACCCTTCACCCCAAACCCCAACCCTAAACCCTAAACCCCAAACCCTAAACCCAACCCTAACCCACAAAACCTGAAACCGTAATTGCAGGATGCAGACTTTGAAGGTGCGGGGCTGCTTGCTGGTCTCGCCAAGAACTATACCCTTACGGAGGAATCCTTGCTGTAGAAGCTTAAATAGTTACCAAGATTATTCCTTAGGGCTCCTTCTTACAAACATACGTAGTATAAAAGGGCGGCCCACAACCCTCTACTAATTATTCAGGCCCCTAAACCCAGAAGCTCTAGCAGCCCTTATAGAACCCTTATAGGAACCGCTTTTTTTGAATTCTGCCAATTAAAGGAACCCCTAAACCCTAAACCCTTATAATCAAGGCCCCTACAGTACAGGGATCCCCCTGACTTCCCCAAGCTTTGGCCCTGAACATGTAAAGTTTCGACCTAATGCCCCTCACATTAGACTAGGGGTCCTTAAAAAGGGTCCCTTTAATAAAGGGATCTGGAAGGGTTACTATAAGGGCTACTGTAAGGGTTCAGGGTTCAGGGCCCTTAATAAATAGAAGAGTTCTCTAACTACAGAGAGGAAACCCCAGAATAGTAAGTAGTGCTAACTATTTAGGCTTCTATATTACCTCTACAGCTCCTGAACCAGATTATATATGCCTGCACCCTTTACTAGCAGGGGCTACAGTGCACACTGCCCTGATCCAACACCCAAACTCCACGTCTGAGTTCCAAAACTTTCAAAGTCTAAGAACGACGTCGAAACATGTCAGACTCTTTTAACTTCAAGCCCTGAAAACTCAAACTCTGAATCCTAAACCCTTCAGGCCCTACAAGGGTCGAGAAAAAAACAACAAAACTGCCCTCCGCACCAACTCGGATTCAGAAAGAAGCTGGAAACCCGCCCACCTTGCCCCCGCTGGTGGGCACCACATTGAGCGTGCTGTCCTGCAGATTTGACAGTGTGGGGTTCAGGGCAGGACAGGAAGGGCCTTCATTTTCTTGGAGTAGGGTTTCGGTGATTTTTATACTATAGTTTTAATAAGAACCCCCAAAATAGTAGAGGTAATTATTTCGGTGCAGGAACCCAGGAGAGCTCCCAAACACCCAAACCTTGGTTCCAACGGTTCAAGTTGATGAGGGTGGCCAGTCCCTAGCATGAGGACCTCCCAACCCTAATTGCAGGACACCGCAGGCAGTTTCAAGCTAAGTGGCTAGATAGTAGTGTGGGGGCTTTAATACGTAATTAGAATAGGGTTTTGGGTGGTTCCTTGTTACAAAGATAGTACAATATACACCAAGCCCTATTCTAATTTATTAAGGCCCCTATATTCGGCGCAAGGCTACTGACGTGAAAAGCACCAGATGCAGGAAGTCTTGAACGCCGTTGGAAAGGGCGTCAACCTCACAAGTTAGACTACCGTCAACCTCTTAGGGTTTAGGGTTGATTTTTAATTTTTCCACCCGCCCTAAACCCTTAACCCCAAACTCTCAACCGTTTAGGATTTTATCTCAAACGCCCTGACCTCGAACTGTTCCCTCACCAACGCTCCAAAAGTTCAACGATCTACCCTTGCAACAAATGTCGGGTTTGAGGTTCGTGTTCGAAACCCCCAAACCTTAAGCTTCTGCTTTGAGGGTTTAGGGTTAAGGGTTTAGGGTCTAAGGTTTAGGGTTTAGAGTTTCGGCAGAAGTGCCTCACAGTTACCCTTAAGCTCTGAAATCTCAACGAAGACTTAGACCCTAAGCCCCGGAACAGGACCGTCCAAAGCAAAAGGGCCCTCGGAGAGTCTTTTGAGCCAGTTCTTCCTACATCTCTGAGGCTTTTTGCCTAAGAGATGTAGGAAGAACTGGAGGGTTTAGGGTTTAGGATTTATCAAACGGGTTGAGGATTTAAGGAGGGCTTATGGGTAAGGTCTACGGTTTAGAGCTTAGGGTTCTGAAATGTACAACCTGTATGTACAACCAAGGTGTGTCGATTCCCTAGGGAAATGAGTTTGGGGTTTAGGGTTTACCTGTGATTCAAGGCCTCTTGTCAAGGACCAGACCTTGATTTGAGGAGTGCATGATGGACTCCCAACCCAACAGTACTACGACTAAACCCAAAACCTCTGAAACCCAAACAAGTGGCTCACGCTTTTGCATTTTTCCTTGAGTTTTGGCTCGCAGGGTTTAGAGTTTAGGGCTTAGGGCTTTGAAGGTTGTCGGGCTTGTGGAGGGTTCGCAAGTAGCCCTGTGAGGGTTCAGCCGCAAGCTAAGATGGCCGAGTACTCGGCCACTGTCCTTTCAACAGTGGGCTATGTGGGGCTCCATTTTAATATAAGGGGCTAAATAACTACCTATTCCTTATTCTAAGTATAGTATAATGGGCCCCAGAACCCTATTCTAATTATTAAGCCCCCTACACCCCAAACCCTTTTTGTAGCCCTTATAGAACCCTTGAAGGAACCCCTAATAACCCTAAACCCTAAACCCTTTAACGCGAAACCCTACATTACCTTTGGGAAGAGTTCCCATGACAAAGTCTGGAGCTGTGAAAACCGTTAGCGTTTAGGGCTTAGGGTTTAGGGTCTCAGGGTTTAAGGGTTTCGGGCTTTAGGGGTTTAGGGTTTTGGGTTTAGGGTCATGAAGAAAAACAGCTTGTGAGAGAAAAGCACCGTCTTCAGAGCAGACCGGAATCCCATAAACGAAACCCTAAACCAAAAGCCCGAAACCCTAAACCCTAAGCACTAAACCCTAAACCCTAAGAACACCAGAACTGCCGGGGCTGAGCTCTTCCATAAGCATGAGACTTTCAACCCTCCGCAGTCCAGTCCTCAGCCCAACTAATTTAGCGGCCTCAATAATTAGAATAGGGTTTTGGCGGTCCAATATACTATAACTCCAATAAGGAACCCCCAAAATAGAATAGGCTTTTTGGGGATCCATTATACCATCAATCGAATAAGGAACCCTCAAAAACCTATTCTAATTATTAAGGCCCCTATATTAGGCTCCCAAACCCTCCTCAGCCACTATGCCGACGGTTTCGCTGATCCGCGCTCGTGTGTCCTTCGGGGTCTCAAACACCGACTCGCAACGGCCATCGCGTTTAGGACCGTTTTGCTCGGGTGTGTAGCACAGAGCTAGGGTCTAAGGTTCAGTTCAAGGAATCGAATCACCGGGGAAGGGACAAGTGGGACAATGTGACACTAACCCTCCCTAAACCCCCTAAACCCTAAACCCTAAACCCTAAACCCCAAACCCTAAACCCTTAAGCCCCTTAAGTCAAGAAGCCCTGGGCTCCAAATCCTAAGCCCCAACAGAATCTAAAACCCTGAACCCAAAATCCTAGAACTTTTAGGGTTTAGGGTTTAGGGTTTAGGGTTTAGGGTTTAGGTAGCTTCCAAGAACAGACTCCGGTCTGGGTGCAGCTTGTCGGGTTCAGTTTCAGGGTTCCGGGCTTTTCGGGTTATTTAAATGCTTGCATTCTCAGGCGGCTTTCCACCGCTTGTACTTCTCAGGGTTTAGCGTGCCTTGGTTCTCCTACACTACACGTCTTGTCTGCGTACACTTTCACGTAAAGCTTAGCAGCCTGGACCCTGAACTAGGTTCCTCTACAGCTCTGCTGTGGCTGGGTCAGCACTTTCGCCTCTGGCGCCTGCTGGCCCAAAGGCTTCAGGGAAAGAGCTCGAGTTATGTTTGGGGTACACCCTAAACCCCTAAACCCTAAACCCAAACCCTAAACCCTAACCCTAAACCTTAAACCTCATTACACCACAAGCAAGTCATACCCGGGAACCCCCGAAACACTATTCAGGCCCATCTTGCTTCTGTTTCGGAGTTAGGGGCATCTTGGGGAAGCAGCCAGCTAGCCGTCTAACATGGGGGCCTCAATAATTAGAATAAGAGGTTTTGGGGTATATTTGTTATAATAAGAAAGGTTTTGGGGTGTATTAAACTATATTTATAATAAGAAACCCCCAACAATTTTACAGGTAAGTATTCTTTGGGCCCCTATGTTGACTGTTGGAGTTTGATCGCTCGCCACCCTCGCCTCAGCCGCATCGGCCTCTGTCTCTTCGATCTCCTCGGTACCTTCCCGCTGGCTGGGGAAGAGCTGCTCTAGCAGCCACTTTAGCTCAACATTATGTTTGTCATTTTTCTTCCTAAAGACAAGCGCACTACACTAAACGGAAAGCCCTAACCGAAGATCATCGCAGATGTGATGTCGTAGTGGGGCTTACCGTTCTTAAGGCTTGTACATCTCACGCCGCCAGGAGCCCAATAATGTCTTAGAGCATCTCGAATATCCTTCAAACAAGGCCCCTAAACCCTAAGCCCTATACCGTAGACCCTAAACCCTAAACCCCACCAACCCCGTTCATCCACCCACCAGAAAGAATATGCAAACCGACAAAACAGTAAAATCCGCATAGAATCGTAGAACCTGTTGGGGCAGCTGAGACCCTCATCGGACCCTCGTAGGAACCCTTCTAGGAACCCTAGGAGAAAACCTCCAAGAAGTCCAAGAGCTCTAAACCGCCAAGCATCAATCGACCTAAACCCTAAAACCGAAATCCTCGACCCTAAACCTCTACTTGAAACGTTTTAGGGTCTAGGGCAAACCCTAAACCAGACTCAGGACGCCGGATGCCCTCGTTTCGAGCGCCTTCCTCATGGCTTGTCTTCGCCACCTGGCAAGCGAGCGAAGTGGCATACGGTTTGATGTAGGTGCTTTCATGAACAACCTATCTTGAGGGGCCCAAAAGATAGTATCCCTACATTAGGGTTTATGTGGTTCTTGGGGTTGGGGTTTAGCACTTAGGGTCTAGGTTTGCGGGTCTGCAGTGACCTGGCTATACGTCGAGGTTCAGGTTCATTGACTAGTTATCATTCACTCCACATCTGACCCACTTCAAATGTCTACGCCCAGGATGTCTCCTGACTATTACGGGGTGACGTGTGTCCACAGGCTAGTGCGTTACCCAGGATGTAACCCAGGATCTTTGGGCATAGGACCTCGTCAGCTGCAGAATACGACAGGATGGCTGGCCTATGGGAAATTTAAGAAACTGTGACTCTGACTAGCCTTAACCCCAAAAGATCAAAAACCTGCAAAGTTCGATGCCCTGAACCCCAGAAGCTCAAAGGCCCTGGACGCTAAAACCCCGTAGTACCCTCGCAACGCTCTGTCTCATGACACCCATCCTGAAAGAGCTTCTAAGCGACCCTAAACCGGACCTTGAAAAAGATCCGACACGCGGGTAGTTCTCTAAATGAGGGGCCCTTCCAGGGTCCTTGTTATAAGGGCCCTAAATCCTAAACCCTAAACCCTAAACCCTAAACCCTAAACCCTAAATTATACGGGTGCCGTACTCTCTTGCCTCAAGAGGGACCAAAAGGCCCTATTTTACAGAAACACCCACATCCTCAAGAGTCTAATGTAGGGGCCTACATAATTAGAATAGGGTTTTGGGGTATACTTGTACTACAATCATAATAAGGAACCTCCAAAATAGTCTTGGTAATTACTCAGGCCCCTCTATTATGGGGATTTGCGTCTTGGTGTCTTCCTCTCTTTGCCTTCGACTTTTGGTTCTCGGGCTGTGAGAGCTGTTTAGGGCTCGCAGGGGTAATGGGTCCCCAACACCCCGAATTCTGAAGTCTGTGTTTGGGTTTCGGGTTTAGGGTCTGAGGCTTTGAAACCCTAAACCCTAAACCCCAAACATCAGGGTTTAGGGTTTAGGATTTAGGGTTTAGGGCCCCTAAACCCCAAACCCCAAAGTGTTTGGGGTTCAGGGTTCAGGGCTGCGTGGCCTATCTCAAAGGAAGCAGGAGCCTTCGCAGGCGGCTCCTCTGTGATGATCTGCGTCTTCGGCGGCATGGCGAAGAAAAATCCGCAGACCCTAAACTCCTAAACCCCTGGAAAGCTTAGGGTTTAGGGTTTGGGATTTTCAACCCCTAAACCCTTGAACCCTAAACCCTAAACCCAAAAACCCCTGAACCCTAGAGAAAATACAGGAGTCACAGCCTTCCGGGTCTTGAAACCTACAGCCCCCAGAGCGCGCAGTCCTGGCCCAAAGGCACTGAGACCTGAATCCTTGACCCCGGGTTTAGGGTCCAGGGTGTTTTTTGGGTTTCGGGCTTTTCTAGGGTTTAGGGGTTTAGGGTTTAGGGCCCCCTAAACACCAAACCATAAACTCGTAGGGTCCATACGGAAAGACCGCTCTAAGCAACTGATGAGTTCCTGATCTGCGCCTGGCCTCGTCAAGACGACATCTACTCCAATCGCAATGCTGAGAAAAATAAGCCCTAAACCCTAAACCCTAAACCCTAAACCCTAAACCCTCTAAAAGCCAGACATGGAAAGTCCTTAAGCCTCCAGGGTTCGGATTTGGGGTATTTGGGCCTAGGCTAGGTTCAGGGTTTAGGGTTTAGGGTTCAGGGTTCAGGGTTCAGGGTTCCGGGTTTAGGGTTAAGGGTTTAGGGTTCTGGGTTCTTTGGGGTTCAGGATTTTGGGTGCTTGGGCTTACGGTTGAAGTGAGAGGATCCGGTGTGTTTGGCTTTATTCCTGCCGTTTAGCGTGCACAGCACAAGCTCTAATATGCAAAGATCGGAGACACCTCCCAAACTCGAAACCTTAGTTGCCGAGTGTATAAGGGCCAAAAACTGTATGCACACTTGCTCCTTAACAGGGGGTTCTATTGTCCCAAAACAGGTGAACTGTACTCATTCAGCTTCTAAGACACCTAATTGAACCGAGGCTTTGGTGCTTGGTATATAGGTTTGGAATGGCAGCACGATTCGGCGCTGGTGGTGGTGGTATTGGTGGCAGTAGAAGGTCGTACGAATCGCAGTGTTGTCGTATAGTACCCCTAAACCCTACACACCCCTAAACCCTAAACCTCTGAACCCTAAACCCTACACCCCTAAACCCTAGACCTCTAAACCCCTAAACCCTAAAGCTGCGCGCTTTTCCCGTGACCGTCCGGCTGTCGGCTGGCAGGAGCTCCTGGGGCTAGACCCTAATCTAATCCCTACTTTAGGGGCCTTAAAAATTCGAATAGGGTTTTAGGGTTCCTTTTCAGGGTTCTATAAGGGCTACTGTAAGGGTTTAGGGTTTAGGGAAATGATTAAAATCGGGTTTTGGTGTCCATTCTACTATAAATCTAATCAGGAACCCTCCAAAATAGTATTGGTAATGACTTAGGCCCCTATATTACGTCCCAAACCTTGTTCCTTACAAACCTTAATCCCTAAGCCATGATATAAATCCTAGATCCCAGACCCTAAACCCTAAACCCTAGTTCCTAAACCCCAGGTCAAAACCTAAAAAAGGCGTTGAAGCTGCAGAGGTTCACGAATCGAGCGGCGGATATGCCAACGACGCAGGAGTCAAGTGGTCTAAGGTCCGGGCTTCAGGGAATGCATGGGCTTGGGGATTTAGGGTTTAGGGTTTAGGGTTTAACATAATTTAATAGATGAAGGCTGGCTTGAGGCTCACGTGCCAAGGTAGACTCCCGTCAGAGTCTGCCCGAAACCTGCTTGATAAACCCTCGGGCGTTCGCAAGCCCTTCGTCGTGCCTCCTTTCCGCCACCGTTTCTTGGCTGCCTCCACCGGAAGGTGCGTGCAGTCTATTTCAAGCTGTTCATGGTGAAGGTCATAGGTGAGGTCACGGCATGAATAAATCGACCCAGCAAGTGAGCTGAAACCGTAGGTAAGCCCTGAATGGCATAGTTACCGTAGGGTTTGGGAAACATGTTCCGGCTGAAGCGTCTTTCAGGAGGGCGTCACAGGCTGCAGTCTTGCTTCGAGGTCTCAGCTTAGAGCTTTCATGAAACCCTAAACCCCTAAACCCCTAAACCCCTAAACCCTACACCCCTAAACCCTAAACCCTACACCCTGAAACCCTAACCCCTAAACCCTAAACCCTAAACCCTGGTGTCAGGCAGAACGACGTAGAAGCCGCCTGCTGGAGATCCCTCAAACTCTGAAAAACCGGCGCCTTCCATTCCCTAGCAGCCCATCAGTTAGCCTGAGGGCCCAACTGCATTTAGGGTTTAGGGTTTAGAGTTTAGGGTTTAGGGTTTAGGGTTTAGAGTCTAGGGTTTAGGGTTTAGATTCCATCGTCCCTACGTAGTTCTTGGTTTTTACTGGAATGGAGGTGCTATCCGTTCGTGCTCCCTAAACCCGAAACCCCTCCCTACATCCGAAACCCAAAGCCCTGCACCTTGTCCTGGGGCAGCAGTCTTGCAGGTTTTGAGGGTGCTGGCACTTGCCCCGTCAATCCCTGAAGCCAACTTCACTCGACCCCAACAGCCCAAGAACCTGCTCTGATAGCCTACTTGAGGGCTCAGGGGACTTACTCAGTGGGGCCATAAGTCCTCTGAGTGGGCTATCCTACTGAAAAACTTATAACCTTACTTGCTAAGTCCCCTGAGCCATTAAGTGGGCCTGCACGGCATGAGTACCCACTGTGGAATGCAAGGCCCCTTCTTTTGTGTAATTCAGTGGCCGTGAATGACGACTCTAAGCTCTACGAGCAAAGGCAAGTAGCAGCTACACTGCTTAAACCATGACTAAAGTCCCTGAAGCCTCACCCCATATACATACCCTACACCCTAAACCCTGAACCCTAAACTTTAAACCCCATATACATACCCTAAACCGTAAAGCCCCACCCCACATCCTGAGCCCAAGATTGATGTTGCGTTGGTCAAACCAGCGAATCGGCCAAGCTGAAAACACGAACCCTGGGCCCGAGACCTGAACCCTCAACCCGGAGCCCCAACATAGGGGCCTGAATAACTAGAACGGGGTTTTTTGGCTACATTATACTACAACTACAGTAAAGAAACCCCGAAATAGTATTGGTAGTAATTTGGGCCCCTCTACTACACCGTTTTTCTCCACCCGCTTCGCTGGCTAGGTCGCACTACGAGGGGTTTCGGGTTTAGGGCAACCCTGGCTCGGATGCACTGACATAGATTAGGGTTTAGGGTTCAGGGTTTAAGGTTTACGGTTTAGGGTTTAGAACTCGGATGCACTGACATGGATTAGGGTTTAGGGTTTAGGCTGTTGTTTTTTAACCGCCCCCCTTTCTCCTAACTGTTACCAGGTCGCAGGGTTTAGGGTTTAGGGTTAGTCGTCCCCCCAACTAGGATCCGTTTTGGGATCCCCAAGAGAACACGCCACTCTTATGTCTTGCAGCCCCCCAAAAAACGTGTATGATGCGGGCTTTTCGGGCCTGGGGCTACAGCCCGAGCGAAAGAGAGCTCCAACTCTAAACCCTAAAACACCCTAACCCCTAAACCCGGGCAACAGAGCACTTTCATTGACTGGCCCACACCAAAAAAAACCTAAACCCTAAACCCTAAACCCTGGCAACAGAGCACTCCAACCCTAAACCCCAAAAGAAACCCTGGCAACAGAGCCCTCCAAACTTCTGGCCAAGGCCGTAAAGCCTTACCAGAGAGCCCAATACCCCTTAATTAAGGAATATACCTTAAATCATAAAATTAAGGCCCCTACAATTTAAGGTATATTCCTTATTTAAGAGGTATTGGGCTCTCTGGGTAAAGCCTTCGACTCCAAAGAGGGCTGGGCTCTTGAGGCTCTACCCTGGACCCCTGACCCTGGAGAACCTCATATTTAGGGGCCTTAACACTTAGAATGGGGCTTTGGGGGTTCCTTTAAGGGTTCGATAAGGGCTACTGTAAGGTTTAGGGTTTAGAGGCCTTAATAATTAGAATAGGCTTTTTGGGGGCTCCTTATAGACCCCGAAACCCTATTCTAGTTACTAAGGCCCTCACATTACCTTCTTCAGGGGTTCCTTGCAAAGATATGCCACTATGAGTCCTTAGGAAGGTAGGTTCTTGAGGGCCCATGTAAATCTAGGGACTTAGAACTCAGGCTTTGATGGCTTAGTTAGGGTCTTTTGACACTTGCAGTTGGGCATGTCCGCAAGGGGTCTGCAGACGACACAACGGCAGTCCCACCGTGAGAAATCCGATTGGCTCCACCACCGCCGTCATCTGAAGCACCCCACATGCCGTTTTCGCAACAGAAACTCACTTGATTCTGGTCCTTGTAGACTCGGGTGTCTGGTCCGAGTTTGCGTAAGCAGCAAGCAGCAGCGAAACCGCGACCATCTTGCAAACAAAAACCTAACAAAAATAACACCTCCGCCCAAAATCTAAATAACACCTAAGCCCAAAACCTATAGGGACCCAAGCCTTGCCATCCGCAGACCACGACAGGTCCTGGAGAGCCTTCCGGAGGACCTGCGATCAGGTGTTCATCATCGGATCTCTCACAGCTGCTACTAGTAGAACTCCGGAGCGTTTAGTAGGGGTTCTAGGCAGTACATGAAAAGACCTTATGAAGTAGGAAGATAAATGTACATATATATATATATAAATAAATTATATAAATACACATGTATAGATATGTGCATATATGTATAGAAGAATATCCACTCATGCACATGCATATACATTTGCGTGTACAGGTACATGTACATATGTATATACACACACACAACTTTTGTATTTAAATGCTATATTGAATATATGCTCAAAAAGTCCTAAACTTCCTACCTAGGGAAAGCTATGGGGGGTGCGAAGCCCACCGGCGACCCCAAACCGAAAACCCTGATAACCAAACGCAAAACCCTCAAACCCCAAACAACCCTCGAGCCCCCATGCCCTAAACCCCAAAGAACCCAGCCCTGGACCCTTGTAAGAGCCCTTGCAGGAACCCGCACACGATCCGCTATGAAACCTTGGAGAAAAACCTTAAACCTATAAACACCCTCAAGATCCTGTGCAAATCTTTAAAGGCACCCTCATGGAGCCGTGTCGAAACCCGATGGACACTTTGGC